CACTGGAGAAGCGAGGTGATCCGAGCACAAGCGCAGGCAGACAGCACTGCAGGGGCAGCTGCAGAGGTTTTTTTACCTGTTGATTGCCATCTATGCTTATCTGGATCACACATGAGCTGTATGCCACTGAGCAATATCCTAATTGGCAGAAATAAATCCCCTTTATGTACAAGGATAAGACACTATGGTCTGCTTTCTTTTTGACCAAACACCCCATGAGCTGGCATAAGGAGGAGTGAACGAGGAAACAACCCCAGGAGGGGAATTGGGAGATCCCAAGAGAGCTGGTCAGTGTATTCATTGATACACAGGGAGAAAAAGGAGATAACAGGAGGATCCATCTTAATGCATGTCCACCTTCTGGGACGGCTAGAGCAAGAGCATCATCCCATTTCATCTATCCTGGAAGGATAAAAAGCGTATTTGCCTGGATTCATTCAGGCAAATATAGAGGTGAGCACATAGGGAGACCATTTAGCACTCGGCAAGAAGGAACAGAAAATTCACTTGCACATTTACTTTGAAAGACTTTATATATAATTTTATTTACTTCTTTATAAAGCACTTGCACAATTTGTATATGTTTTTGCACAATGTGAATAGAGTGATCACAGCAATATCGAGGTGCAATATGGTTTTATACCATGGTACCTATTAAGGCACTATCACTTTAGGATTATTTATTATGTATGTCACTTATATGTATATTTTTATATATGTTTAGTGTTATAGCCACAAGTCACAATTATTGACATTGAAATTGAAATCGATATTTACCTTAGAAGTATAAGTTGAATATATAAATATATAGGAGCGCGGCGCAATCCATCTTTTACCATTTATACACACTAGCAAGTGAGTCAGTGTAAGTGCCAGCGCACCTTATACACTTAATAAAAAGATTTCACTATATGTTACTTATTGAACACCTCGATTCATAATAGCTCACAAGAATTCACTATTTACATTTATACATTTATCCCAGCGTTTAATGCCTGGAAAGCTTCGGCATAGAAAGATTTGTCAGTACGTCTGAACCATCCTAGGACAGCCGCCTTCACTTCGTCATCAGCGCTGAAATGCTGACCACAGAAAGATTTGTCTCTTTTGCAATTTCATGACAGGCTATTCAGGATCAGGTGTTCCACGTGCTGAATGTTCACAGGAATGACTGCTGCAGGCTGGGAACCACCATGAGGAACATCACTGACTGACATACGGCCATCTTGGAAACGTTTACACCGTTTGACTGCGGCTGAGCCTCATCCTCGTACTGTTCTAGAAGTCTTCTGTAGATACCTGCGGGTTTTACGCCTTCATTCACAAGACTCTTTGAAGTTTTTTTACTAAAGCTGGAGAGTGCAAAATCAGTCTCACTTCTGCATAAAAGCCAATCAGCTTTCATTGCCAAAGCTTCATTGGACAAGTTAGGGTTGAAAGCTGATTGGTTTCTATGCAGATGTGAGCCTGATTTTGCACTCTCCAGCTTTAGTAAATAATCAGGCAGCACAGTGGCTAAATGGTTAGCACTTCCGCTTGGCAGTACTAGGGTCGTCGGTTCAAATCCCAACCACGGCATCACCTGCCTGAAGTTTGCATGTTCTCCCTGTGCAGGTTTCCTCCGGTTACCTCCCACACTCCAAAGACATGCTGGTAGGTAAATTGGCTCCTGTTTAAATTGTCCCTAGTATGTGTATGTATGAATGTGAGTTAGGGACCTTAGATTGTACTCCCCTTGAGGGTTAGGGACTGATGTGAATGTACAATATATATGTAAAGTGCTGTGTAAATTGATGGCGCTATATAAGTACCTGAAAACCTTTTCTCAAATATCTCCAATCCCAACACCCTTTCTTATTAACACAAAATATCCCCAAATTATCACAAAATGTTGGGATTGGAGATATTTGAGAAAAGGTTTATGGTTATTTACTTTCAAGGGTGAAAGTGTAACTTTTCTTGTTGGGTATTAGTTGATGAGAGTTTATTGAAGAAATAAATAAATAAGCCCTTGTATCACCACACACTGTTTCACGCACGCACTAACACTATTGAATACCACCTTGATTAACCTCCCTAGCGGTCTGATTATGTCAGTATTTCTGTGCTCAAAGCGGTACATTTTTTTGCATGGAAATATGTCGTTTTTTATTGTAGGCTGTAATTTTTAGGAATAACTCACTGAAATCTGTCCGAACAAGAGTCTAGTAAACATCCCGGGTAGGATAAAATTTGAAACACAAAATCATAAATTATAATTTAATAATATAATCATAAAAAATAATAATATAATAATAAATTTAATTCAATAATATAATCAAACCAAAAACACTGAAATTTGAAATATAGCTCCAAGTTCGCACATCGCTGAGCAAAGTCGCAAAATCGTTTTCAGTTTCTGATGACGAATTTCCCCCACGAATCATTATCACTCAATTCTGCAAGTGGTTCTGATTTACTATCGCTGTTCTCTAGCCGGTCTAAAACCGATTTTGACCTAAAGAGACGCTTTTTGGACGCCATGGACGTTTCTCAGTTTCCAGGCAGAAAGAACAGTAAAAATGCAGGCAGGGCGCTGGACAAAGCACTCGGGACAAAATGTATGTGAAATGGTTTGATACAGGAATGTTATACTATGTGATTTCAGTGTATTTAGTGAATGTCACTTTTAACATTTTTGAATTTCCCGCTGGTTCCGTCCCCCATACGCCCTGACGCTCGCAGGGAACGGAACCCGGAAGACGGATGCCCGGGGACACTGCAGGGGGCACATCGCGGGGACATCGAGCGCAGGACAAGGTACCGTATTTTTCGCTCCATAATACGCACCTGACCATAAGACGCACCTAGGTTTTAGAGGCAGAAAACAGGAAAAAAAATATTCTGAACCAATGGACTGCAGACACAGTACAGGAGATGACCAGAGACTGCGGACAAAGCACAGGAGATGACCAGAGACTGCGGACAAAGCACAGGGGATGACCAGAGACTGCGGACACAGTACAGGGGATGACCAGAGACTGCGGACACAGTACAGGGGATGACCAGAGACTGCGGACACAGTACAGGGGATGACCAGAGACTGCGGACACAGTACAGGGGATGACCAGAGACTGCGGACACAGTACAGGGGATGACCAGAGACTGCGGACACAGTACAGGGGATGACCAGAGACTGCGGACACAGTACAGGGGATGACCAGAGACTGCGGACACAGTACAGGGGATGACCAGAGACTGCGGACACAGTACAGGGGATGACCAGAGACTGCGGACACAGTACAGGGGATGACCAGAGACTGCGGACACAGTACAGGGGATGACCAGAGACTGCGGACACAGTACAGGGGATGACCAGAGACTGCGGACACAGTACAGGGGATGACCAGAGACTGCGGACACAGTACAGGGGATGACCAGAGACTGCGGACACAGTACAGGGGATGACCAGAGACTGCGGACACAGTACAGGGGATGACCAGAGACTGCGGACACAGTACAGGGGATGACCAGAGACTGCGGACACAGTACAGGGGATGACCAGAGACTGCGGACACAGTACAGGGGATGACCAGAGACTGCGGACACAGTACAGGGGATGACCAGAGACTGCGGACACAGTACAGGGGATGACCAGAGACTGCGGACACAGTACAGGGGATGACCAGAGACTGCGGACACAGTACAGGGGATGACCAGAGACTGCGGACACAGTACAGGGGATGACCAGAGACTGCGGACACAGTACAGGGGATGACCAGAGACTGCGGACACAGTACAGGGGATGACCAGAGACTGCGGACACAGTACAGGGGATGACCAGAGACTGCGGACACAGTACAGGAGATGACCAGAGACTGCGGACACAGTACAGGAGATGACCAGAGACTGCGGACACAGTACAGGAGATGACCAGAGACTGCGGACACAGTACAGGAGATGACCAGAGACTGCGGACACAGTACAGGAGATGACCAGAGACTGCGGACACAGTACAGGAGATGACCAGAGACTGCGGACACAGTACAGGAGATGACCAGAGACTGTGGACAGTACAGGAGATGACTGCTGACCTTTGGGGAGGGGGGGGGGAGCGGGTACCTGAATTTGACAGGTACCCGCTCTTACTTCCGCGGAGAGTTGTTCTTTGGTTAGTGTCCGCTCTGCAGCGGGACCTTACCTGTTCCTCTATCCAGCGGCGCGCTGTCTTCCCGGCTTCTGTAGTGTGGGCACTCAGCTTGACAGCCGGGTGCCCAGTGCGCATGAGCGAGAAGCGCTGCTCTTTGTGATTGGTCCGGCAGCTTCTGGGATCTGTCATGTGTCCCAAGTGCCGCCTTACCATTCACAGAGAGCACCGCCTCTTGCACATGCGCACTTGGCACCTGGCTGTCAAGCTGAGCGCCCCCACTACAGAATCCGGGAAGACAGCGCGCCGCTGGATAGAGGAACAGGTAAGGTCCCACTGCAGAGCTGAGCGGCCGGCCCGGTATTCTGACACGGCGGCGGTGGAAATACCAGACCGGCCGCTCCATATTCGCTCCATAAGACGCACTGACATTTTCCCCCTTTTTTTGGGGGGAAAAAAAGTGCATCTTATGGAGCGAAAAATACGGTAAGTGCTGGAGGGAATCCCGGAGCAACGCTGCAGGGTATTCCCGAGTGTAGCTCAGGGTTACCGCTTTTGGTACTGAAAGTTAACCCCGAGCTACACTCGGAAATACTGCCAAGGGGGTTAGCGGTCTCTGAACTGGCCCGTGACACGTGCACCACCTATCAGTAACAGGACACACCTGCCACTTACTACTGCGTGTAGTACCGCCATGCTAGCATCCCTTTTTTATACCTGGAAACTTAAAAGTCTCAGTTTGACTTGAATGCCCCTCATAAATTACTATATGAATGGGGCTCAAAATCTCATTGGCTACTGGTTACACCACATTCTGTACACATGTATTAATAACGTGCCCCCATATATGTGGAAAAACATGCAGATAAATTACCAAAAAGATGTCTGGGTTCAGCACTTCTGATGTATCAAATTCCGAGGGATTGCTGCTGTAGAGTGTTTGTTCATCTTCCGATTCAGCAACATCCAGCGCCCTATTAGAGTCTGGCGTTACCTCCTTGTCAGAATCCTCCTTAGTTTGTTTCGGTTCTTGGCGGTCGCCTGCCATCACTACAGCCTGGAGTAACGGACCTAACCGAAAAAGAATGGACAAAATCTATTACGAATGTCGCTGGTAAATTAACAGAGCAATTTCATGAACAAATTCAAATTTTAAACCAACTTTTCTACCACTTGATAGAAAGTTAGGGATTTCAGCACTGGATTTATATCAGCTTATAGGGTTATACCAACTGGAGAGAACTAAAAACTGAACCCATAGCTGGGGCAAAGAACAAGGAGATGCAGAAGGTCTCAGTCTCAGGGGGAGACGGACAGCACAGGAAACTCTTCTGTATGATCATAGATATGAGTAGGAATCCAATCTCAATTATTAACCCTTTTACTATTATTTCCTGATGGATGCAAAGCAAAAATCACAGGGTTAAAACAAGCTTATAAAAGACCCAGAAGAGTTGATTTACTAAACCTGGAATGTGCAAAATCTGGCGCACGACTGGGCCTGCCCCCGGGGTCGGGCGGCGCACGACTTGGGCCTGCCCCCGGGGTCGGGCGGCGCACGACTTGGGCCTGCCCCCGGGGTCGGGCGGCCACGACTTGGGCCTGCCCCCGGGGTCGGGCGGCGCACGACTGGGCCTGCCCCCGGGGTCGGGCGGCGCACGACTTGGGCCTGCCCCCGAGGTCGGGCGGCGCACGACTTGGGCCTGCCCCCGAGGTCGGGCGGCGCACGACCTGGGCCTACCCCCGAGGTCGGGCGGCGCACGACTTGGGCCTACCCCCGAGGTCGGGCGGCGCACGACTTGGGCCTGCCCCCGAGGTCGGGCGGCGCACGACTTGGGCCTGCCCCCGAGGTCGGGCGGCGCACGACCTGGGCCTAGGTCCGGCGCACGACTTGGGCCTGCCCCCGAGGTCGGGCGGCGCACGACCTGGGCCTGCCCCCGAGGTCGGGCGGCGCACGACCTGGGCCTACCCCCGAGGTCGGGCGGCGCACGACGGGCCTGCCCCCGACGGGCGGGCCGACCCTGCCCCCGAGGTCGGGCGGCGCACGACTTGGGCCTGCCCCCGAGGTCGGGCGGCGCACGACTGGGCCTACCCCCAAGGTCGGGCGGCGCACGACTTGGGCCTGACCTGCGTGTATGCTGGCCAAGCGGCTTCTAACTTCAGCTTTTTTCAATTAAACTTTGACAATAAAACCTGGAAGCCGATTGGTTTCTAGGCAGAGCTGCACCAGATTTTGCACTCTCAAGTTTAAATAAATCTCCCCGATAATGTCTCCATAAAAAGAACCTGTCACCCCATGACCCTCTTTAAAGGGAACTTTTGGGAACATGTTACATGTTCCACCCATTTTAAGGGAACATGTAACATGTTCCCTTCTGCAGCTCTCCCCTTGATCCCCTCCTTCCCTGTACCAGCTGTCACAATTTGAAAAGAGCTCTGCGCACACAGCAGTGTCATTCATTTACAGAGTCCTGTGAATGAATGCCTACAAGTTCTGTCAGCCTTAGCAGCTGATGGTTTGACGTTTACAATGAACTTCGAGGGCGCTGCTGAGCGCTCTTGTGGTCCATTGAGCTTCCTGGATTGAAGTAACTGCTTGACTGTATTGGAGGTACGGAAACACAGCTACATGGAGTCTGCAGGAGCTGGACATTGCAACCGCGTTCTGCTGATCATGAGTGCCATGCTTTACAGGCTTCAAAGAGGAAAAAAAAAATATTAAATGCGCATTATTTTTTTTTACCTGTGCATTTATTTATTTTTTTTAAAGATGAACTTATCTTTTAATAGTAGAAAACAGGAAGTTATTCACCAACATCAGATCTTTATTAAACTTTATAAAACCCAGAGCTAACATAGTGCATCTCCACCAAGGACCACATTTCACCCAATATGGGCTTCATCAAACCATTTCTCTACTAAGTTTATGGAGCGTGGTCAGGCTCTCTCTGGTCGGCACCTGGATTTCCACCGGAGGGGGGCTTTTCTGCACACACCCTTGTAATATAAAATTACTCCCCCCACACACATATTTGCCAAACACAGCTAGTTGACTGGATGCAGTCTCATCTTGTATGTTCGGCTGAAAACATGGACATGACATTGTGCAAAATGTCATATCTGGAGCAAGGCTTTGTAGCATGCATCTCTAATCCCCCCCCATCCCCACATGAAAATGAAAAGTCAGAGCAGGGGTGACATCTGGGTAGGACAAGGTGAAAAGGGTACGCTAGGAGCTACTGAAAATATTCACACAGTTAAAAAGGTCACCGTTCACTAGGCATGTTATGAGTGCTTCCAGGTCTTCTAAATATTTCTTCTGCTCCTAGATCTGCACATGAGTGCAGTAGACCAACTACAAATGGGACAGGCAAACTAAGTCATGGGTTCCAGAGCGAGCACAGGACAGATCGTAATGTGATATGCACTCAGGCTCAGACTGGCCTAGTGGGAGGATCCTCCGATGGGCCTCTGCTTCCTAAAAATACAGAGCCGTAGCCATAGGCTGTAAATGACAGCTCATAAGGCTGTCAATTACAAAGCCTCACATACCTATCTACACTTGTGGCCCACCCACCTCCATGATGTTTCAGAGGCCTGCCTGACATCCTTCATATTTAGGTGACAGCCTTCCCCCTAGTACTAGCGTAGTTTCTATGATGGAGCAGGACTTGGGTCTGATCGGAGGTCGCACGGCGCAGGACTTGGGCCTGATCGGAGGTCGCACGGCGCAGGACTTGGGCCTGATCGGAGGTCGCACGGCGCAGGACTTGGGCCTGATCGGAGGGTCGCACGGCGCAGGACTTGGGCCTGATCGGAGGTCGCAGGAACCGGGTCCCATCTGGGCTGATGGTGCAGGAACCGGTCCCATCTGGCGCAGGACTTGGGTCCCATCGGAGGTCGCATGGCGCAGGACTTGGGTCCCGATCTGATGGTCGCAGGAACGGCGCCCATCTTGAGGTCTGATCGGAGGTGCAGGAACCGGGTCCCATCTGAGGTCTGATGGTGCAGGAACCGGGTCCCATCTGAGGTCTGATGGCGCAGGAACTGGGTCCCGTCTGACGGCGCAGGAACCGGGTTCCATATGAGCTTTGGTAGTGCACGATTTGGATCTGATGTTGGATGTCGCAGGAATTAAGTATAAACCGAGGTGTGATGATGAAGGATTTGGGACAAATCTTGAGATCTGGTGGTGCAGGATTTGGGGGTTACCTGAGGTTTGATGATGGAGGAATTGGTCTGGTCTGAGGGTTCAGGAACTGGGTCCCGTCCGAGGTGTGATGGCGCAGGAACTGGATCTCATCTGAGGTGTGATGGCGCAGGAACTGGGTCTCATCTGAGGTGTGATGGCGCAGGAACTGGGTCCCATCTGAGGTGCGATGGCGCAGGAACCTGATCGGAGGTCGCACGGCGACCTCATCTGAGGTGCGATGGCGCAGGAACTGGGTCTCATCTGAGGTGCGATGGCGCAGGAACTGGGTCCCATCTGAGGTGTGATGGCGCAGGAACTGGGTCGATGGGCCATCTCATCTGAGGTGCGATGGCGCAGGAACTGGGTCCCATCTGAGGTGCGATGGCGCAGGAACTGGGTCTCATCTCGAGGTGTGATGGCGCAGGAACTGGGTCTCATCTGAGGTGCGATGGCGCAGGAACTGGGTCTCATCTGAGGTGCGATGGCGCAGGAACTGGGTCCCATCTGAGGTGCGATGGCGCAGGAACTGGGTCTCATCTGAGGTGCGATGGCGCAGGAACTGGGTCTCATCCGAGGTGTGATGGCGCAGGAACTGGGTCTCATCTGAGGTGTGATGGCGCAGGAACTGGGTCTCATCTGAGGTGCGATGGCGCAGGAACTGGGTCTCATCTGAGGTGCGATGGCGCAGGAACTGGGTCTCATCTGAGGTGCGATGGCGCAGGAACTGGGTCTCATCTGAGGTGCGATGGCGGAGGAACTGGGTCTCATCTGAGGTGCGATGGCGCAGGAACTGGGTCTCATCTGAGGTGTGATGGCGCAGGAACTGGGTCTCATCTGAGGTGCGATGGCGCAGGAACTGGGTCTCATCCGAGGTGCGATGGCGCAGGAACTGGGTCTCATCTGAGGTGCGATGGCGCAGGAACTGGGTCTCATCTGAGGTGCGATGGCGCAGGAACTGGGTCTCATCTGAGGTGCGATGGCGCAGGAACTGGGTCTCATCCGAGGTGCGATGGCGCAGGAACTGGGTCTCATCTGAGGTGTGATGGCGCAGGAACTGGGTCTCATCCGAGGTGTGATGGCGCAGGAACTGGGTCTCATCTGAGGTGTGATGGCGCAGGAACTGGGTCTCATCTGAGGTGCGATGGCGCAGGAACTGGGTCTCATCTGAGGTGCGATGGCGCAGGAACTGGGTCTCATCTGAGGTGTGATGGCGCAGGAACTGGGTCTCATCTGAGGTGTGATGGCGCAGGAACTGGGTCTCATCTGAGGTGTGATGGCGCAGGAACTGGGTCTCATCTGAGGTGTGATGGTGGAGGAACTAGGTCTCATCTGAGGTTTCACGGAGCAGGAATTGGGGCTGACCTAAGATGTGATGGAGCAAGGATTGGGTCTGATCTGAGAACGGATTATGCAGTTACTGGGTCTGGTCTGATGGTGCAGGAATTTGGGCTGATCATGTAGGATTTGGGATGATCTTGTGTTTACGTTGCTCTATAATTCATAGATACATCAGTTATGTAAATAGCCACTTGTGTCCACTTCACACGAGCACCGTCCAGTCCGATCACTCGGAGATTTACTCACAAACTGGAGCAGAATAGGATCTTAGTTCAATCCCTTCCTGCATTCTCCTCTCTCTGGACAGATCTATGGGCAGCTGGATGTAAACAGCCCTCAGTCCGCTCACATCATACCCCCTCCAATCCGTCACACTGAGGTCCAGAAGAACAGAACAGGAATTTCTTCCAATTTGTGTTCTGCTGGACCTGCCCATAGACTTACATGGAGTATGCAAAACTGAGAGGCAGACCTGACAGTGTGGAAGGGGCCAGTGACCCCAGAGCTAAAATATATGA